CATCCCAAAAGGTGCCCTCCTCAATACCCATCACCCACCCTCTTAAATTTAAATCTTTTAAAAAGTAATCTCTACATCCAATGTGGGGCTTGAACTCACAATTCCAAGATCAAGAGTCACACACTCTTACCAACTGAGCCAGCTAGGCACCCCCTCTATCGAAAAATTTTAAAGAATGGTCTCCACTGGCTGGTTCTTTCATTTCTCCCATTGACTACTTGATCCACTACAATCTGGCCTCCTCCTTAACTCTGGAGGTGACTCCACCCTGGAAGGATCAGCAATGAACTCTTAATTGCCAAATCCAGGGGCTTTTCCTTTTTCTTTGCCAGAGCTTTGTGCAGTATCAGACAGGATTGGTGCTGTCCCCTTTCTGTAAGCTCCCTGCCTGCCATCTGGGCTTCCTTTCTCCCCTTTGTCCACGGACCTAATTTTCTGACCACTTCTGGTTGGTCCCTGCAGATTCCTCTCAGCTTAATGTTCCCTAGGTTTGGACATCTAGCCCCCTACCTCTCTGCACACTCTTCTTGGGTGGCCTCATCCACTCTTGGCCTGTATGATCCCATTTACATGACAGCTCCTATATCCCAGCCCTCGCCTCTTGCCTCAGGTAAGTCAATCCAAATTCCTTCTGAACACCTTCATTTGGATGTCCCTCAAACAACTCACACTGAATAAGTCCAAACCGACTCATCATTTCTACTTTCCCTCAACCCCAACCAACTCTTCCTGCTTTGTTCCTTCCCTGGAAGTCATCACTGTCTCATTCTTTCCCTCATTCTCCCCATGTCTAGTTGGTCACTAATACCTGTTGGTTCCAATTTGAAACTGTGTCTGGAACCCATCAGCTCCCTGCTGATATGTTTTCCTCTGCCCTGCAGGAGGCCCCCTCTTTCCTGCCTGGATCATAGCAGTCTTCCTGACATAGCTTCCATTTCCTGATCTTTCTCCTCCCCAGTCCATACCTTATAATTTTTCTGATTATTCATTCCTTCAGTCAGTCAACAAACATTTGCTATGCACAAACTCTGCTCCAAATACTATGAGGGGTAAATCATACAGATTGACCCAAAATAGGTAAATAATCTAGGGGATTTCTCTCTTTCTTCTTTAAAGATTTTATTTATTTTGTTATTTATTTATTTTTTGGAGAGAGAGCGCAAGCAGAGGGAGGAGTGGAGGGAGACGGTGAGAGAGAATCCCAAGCAGTCTCCATGCCCAGCTTGAGCCCTACATGGGGCTTGATCCCACAACCGCAAGATCATGACTTGAGCTGAAATCAAGAGTTGGACACAACTTGGGGCGCCTGGGTGGCTCGGTTGGTTTAAGCATCCGACTTCAACTCAGGTCATGACCTCGCAGTCCGTGAGTTCGAGCCCCGCGTCGGGCTCTGTGCTGACTGCTCAGAGCCTGAAGCCTGTTTCAGATTCTGTGTCTCCCTCTCTCTGACCCTCCCCCATTCATGCTCTGTCTCTCTCTGTCTCAAAAATAAATAAACGTTAAAAAAAAAAATTAAAAAAAAAAAAAAAGAGTTGGATACAACTGACTGAGCCACCAAAGTGCCTCTAAGTGCCTAAAATCACAAGCCGCCAAAGTGCCTAAAACCACAAAAGATTTTATTTTTTTAAAGTAATCTCCATACCCAACATGGGGCTCAAACTTACAACCCCAAGATCAAGAGTCATGTGCTCTGCTGAATGAGCCAGCCAGGCACCCCTCTAGGGGATTTCAAATTATGGGACTGCTACAAAAGTAAGCAGAGGGATTGAGAGAAAGTAGGGCATGGGGAGGGGAGTTCTCTCAGAGGTGGTCTTTGCCCTGGAATAGTCTCCCCAGATCAACATGACAGTTGTCCTGATGGAACTGGGGGCAGCGATGATAGAGAAGAATGTGGCTGGGACACAACTTCAGGTTGGGAGCCAGGAAAGGCCTGTGAGGAATGAAGGATGAGAATGAGCTCTGGAGAGCTGAAAGAGGCACTTTCCAGGTAGAGGGAAGAGCTAGTGATAAGGCCGAGAGAGTTCCCAGCACACAAAGGAGCCCAGGATGTCTGGTCTGGGGCACAGTAAGGGGTGGAAGGAGGAGGGCAGGAAGATCATGCCTGGGGGCCCTGGTTAGGGGACTGGGTTTTATTCTAAGTGGAATGGGAGGCTATTAAAGAGTTTTTGGCAAGGAAGTCACATTTGACTTTGTCTCTTCAAAAGATTACTCCCTCTAGGTGCATAGGGTGGAGTGCATCTGGAGTTGAGGTGGACAGTGTGGCTGAGACTGCAGTGGCCTGGTCAAGCCCTGTGGGCTGGGTTGGGTGTTAGCAGTGCAGTCGGAGAGAATATAAGCCTTCTTTGGGTCCCGAATACCTGCAGGCTGGCTTCGTACTCCTTATGACAACCATCTGGTTCTAGCCTCCCTCTTCAGCCCAGCTCCCATCATTTCTTGTCTTTGCACCTGCTGTACTTTTTGGAATGCTCTTCCTCACTTTACCTTTGATGGACTAGTCATTCCTGAGGCCAGGCTCAAATACCCCCTCCTCTCTAAAGCTGTTCAGGAATTTTCCAGGGAGAGCTCTTTGAACTTTTTCAGTGCCTAGTTTGTATCTCTAGGATAACATCTAACACACTGTACTGTCTTGTATGTTTACAATTCTGTCTCTGAAGAAGGTGAACAAGAGCTTCTAGAAGGTAAGGACAGTTCAGTGAGTGTTCAGTGGGTGTTCAATGCATGATCAAAAGATATAGATGGTCCCACTATGGAATAGTTCACATAGGTCCAGACTCCAGTCATGACCAGCCCCCATTATATTCAAAATCATCTGATAATGTTTAAGTCCTTGATCATAAGAACAGGTACCAATGTGGGCACTAAGTCTCCTTATTTTGATACTGGAAACAGCCCTGAGAGGTTGGCACAGTGGGAAAATCATCTCTATTTTACAGAAGAGTAAACCAGGGCTTGAGAGAGGTGAGACTTGGGGCGCCTGAGTGGCTTAGTGGGTTGAGCATCTGACTCTTGATTTGGCTCAGGTCATGATCTCACCATTGGTGAGACTGAGCCCTGAGTGAGGCTCTGCACTGACAGATTCTCTCTCTCCCTCTCTGCCCCTCCCCCACTCAGGCTCTCTGTCTTTCTCTCTCTCTCAAAATAAATAAATAAACATTTTTTTAAAAAAGAGGTGAGACTTGGTCAACATCCCTGAGCCCCCAAATTCAGTTCCATTGTTGACCCCTGGACATTCTTACCTGTCCTTGAATCAAGAACTTGTAAGATTTCCTGTCACCTCTTCCTGGTGGTGGAGGGGACATGACAGGAGGAGGCAAGACGGGGAATCAATTCTCCTACCCCCTTAAAAAAAAGTGCCCATACCACCACCTCATTTGTTCCTAATAAGAGGAACCATCTCAGCGGTTACAACCATGGACTCTGGAGAAGGAAGGGCCTGAATTGAGACCCTGCCTATGCCATTTAAGGTTATGTGACCTTGAGGAATTAACTAATTCTCTTACCCCCCTGTTTTGTTTTACCTGTAAAACGGGAGTGAAAAGAAGCTACTTAGTAGGGCCGCTGGGAATATTATAGGAGACAAAAGCATCTTCCCCAACGCTTGACATATAGAAGGGTTTTAATACTTGATAATTACTGTTACTGGCTCCTAGAAATTTCCTAAGCACTTTTCAAGTATCACCTCTTAACACTCACGACAACCTTATACCTTACGCGAAATGCAGGTTTGGAGCTGTTAATAATACCCCTAAAGAAGTTAAGACTTGAATCCATAACCTCACTACCAGGCAAGGCTTGGCAAATGCGTGGGTCAGAGAATGCAAGCAGCTTGCTCAACGACTCGTGACCAGTTACTGACTCTATACTCAACCAGATCTTTGATTCCGAATTGATAGTGGGGCATTACTTCTGAAGGTCTGTAATAAAACTGGATTTGGGGAGGTGAAATGGGCAGTCCTCCAGAGGAGTCGAGAGACCTGCCTTTGCCCCTGATTGCGGATGAGATGAACCTTTAATTTAGACCTCCTTTTCCTCACCTTGAAGTTGGGGAAGAAGAGTTATTAGGGTCCCCAGAGCCCTTCCCAATACTGACTCTCCAGAGCAAAAGACCCCTTCTCAGGTAAAGGTTCATTCAAATTCCTCCGGCTGAGATTCATCCTCCGCGGGGCCCGCAATAAGGACGCGTCCCCTTTAAGGCGCCAGCTCGCCGGCGGCGGCGGCCGGAAGTGTTGAAGCTCGGCCTGGCGGCGGCGGTGGCAGTAGCGGCCGTGGCGGCCTCTGCGCATGCTCCGTCGCCCGCCCGCCCTGGCCGCTCGCCGCCCGCCCGCCCGACGGAGACGGTGAGGAGGGGGAGGGGT